GTATACAGAGGTTTGTATGATTAAATACAAACAGTTTCTGCACCTCCTCCAGCCTCTGTGCCCCCCCCCCCCCTGTCCCCACTGTCCCGTCCCCGGCCCTCGAGTGAGCTCAGTGATCACCGCCGGCGCTCCACAATGGTCTCCCCGCCGCACCCTCCCCTCCCCGTCAGCACCTCATCGCGGCATTCACGGCGCGGCGCGCACCTTTGTGTCGCCGCCGCGCCGCGACTGACACGGCCAATGATGAAACGTGAGAACCCTCTGCCGAACAGGGCCGGCGTAAAATCGGGCGGCGGCGCTCTTCAGGGAAGAGGCGCGCGCCTTTGACGGCGAAGAAAGGCCGCCCGCCGACTACCAGCCGGCAGTGTCGATGGATCGGCCCGTCAGCGCCAGCGAGCGAGCTCATTGGCCTGTATGTCGGAGCCCGCCCGAGGGACAGCCGACCCGCCGGGGTCGGGAGACGGGAGCACGGTCCCACACGCTGTGACAGATACAGAGATCCAGTATGAAGGCCGCAATATCGATGGGTGAGCAAATGTATTATGCATTTTTTAACGTGCACAATTTATTTGAAACGAACATTTACCAACATACCTACAGGGAGTAGTAAAGTAATCTTGCCTACAGGTTGCAACGGATACAATACTCGTACAATATAATGCACAGATACCTAACGCTAAAGCTCAGCTAAACATAAATGTTTATGTAATGTAATCGATGGGTTATTCCGGTGGCTGGATGGAGAAGCAGCAGCCATGTTTGGAGGTGACAGGGATTGCTTCAAGCAAACGAGCCCCTTCTTTATTACTAAGCACAAATATTAAATGTCAAATGAATAGCAAATTATTTCTACGGTTCTAACCATTCCTGGCAAGCATTCCTTGGATAACCACTGTCATTTTGAGAAGAGTAGGTACAGGGAATGTCGCCACCATCGAACGTCCTTGTCACTGCAAAACATACACATCGGAAATCCCGGCCATCGCAGTTTTGCTGGGGAAGGATAAGCTGTGTACCATTCCAGAGCAAACTTCCCATTCGAGCTCTAGTGGAGACAAGCGGCAGTCTTGTGTGCTGCATTGAATGATTTTCATTTTATGTACTGTTATCCCGGGGCATTTGCTTGCGATGTTTTACATGTAATAGTTTGTGCCTGCACTCTGAACATCAAAGTTGCGCATAGTTCGCCTTAGTTGGTATGTTCAACAGCGCACACTGCCCGAATCACCGGGTGCCCTTTGAACCTGTCGGAGCCAATTTCAAACTCGCCCACATGAAAGCGGTTCCGAAATTAACCCGATAGCGTCATCTTGTTGATTATACGCAAGGTTAGGTCGAACTGATCAGGTTTGCTTCCAGCTGCAGGCCGAGGATAGGGTCGGCTCCAGGGCAATTCGGCTCGGCTCGAGCAGAGCAGCTTGGAGATTGGCTTCGTCTGAACACGCGGCCCGGAATCTAAAGCATTTTGTGCTGATTTGTTTTTGCAGACGCCTCACAGCAGGCGACAGCCAACCCGTGGCGGCATCTTTCAACAAGGTTAGATCTGGTCTTTGGCTGGGGCTGGACGCCGTCATGTGACCCTGCAAGGGATACCCCACGGCACCCTGCCGGGACTACATATGTTCCTCATACTCCCCGCCTGAGCAGACGAGTCTCCGCCGGCAGCTCAGCTCGGCCGGCGCTGAGACTGCCAAAAGAGACATGCGCACGCCCCCGGCTGCGGCCCGCTGTCCCATTAGCGCGGCTCAGTTTTAGCACAGCGCGTGACGCGCATACCGGACTGCCAGCCCAGGCCGGCTGGTGTGACCGGACACCTTAAATGACAGGGCGGCAGCTGGGTGCATACTGAGTCCGGCGACAGGTAAGTCTCGGACTTAGGATCTTCCCTGCAGATCCTCATCACGACCCGTTCCAAGCCCGATGATTCCCTCACCCCGTGCCGCACCCCCAGTCCCGATCTATCCCGTGCCGTGCCATCTCCTGGACCAACCAACCGTGGGCCACCGAGGCGGCCGCCGCGCCGGCCTTTCAGCGCGTTTTTGCGGAAGCACGACCCTTGCCGGGCGTTTAATGGGTCCCATTCTGGCGCGCCGCGCCACCGGTGGGTAATTTACGGCGCAGTGGCGGCATTTGCAGCGCAGGGGAGAGCAGGGAGGAGAGAGGAGCGCTGCCATGACCCGGCTCTCGGCGACAGAGACACCCCGCCGAGCCGATGTCAGCGCCGTCCGACCAACTGCCGGCCCGGGGCCAGTATATCGGACTGGCAGACACCGGCCGTGACGTCACTGGATCAAGACAGACACTGCCCATCGACGTCATCGTCATTCATGTCAAATGACAACGGCAGAAAGAGACGTCACGGCAAAAAAATGTACTGGCGGTGCACTGTGTTTGAAAATATCATATCACAAAAAAGTTGTGAATGTTGTATACCTAATGTGTGTGTTGAGCATGTGGTACTCGTGTGAAGTTAAGCCAACCATGCTAATTTTGGGCCAAATATGGCTAAATGCACTGTGAATGATCATAATGCACCATTCAACAAAAGCCTTTACTTCAAATACATAAAATGCAGCAAATTTGCCGTATTCACCGGCCTACATATACTCAGCAGTAATGCAAACGTACTTTGGTCAAAGTTTTCTTCATAACTTCGTTTTAGGCAAACGGTTTGGTGGATTGATGTTACGCTGATAACCAATACAGATATAAAAATTAAAGAAAGTAGGATAGGTACATGATTGTGTCTAATAAGCCCTCTGCGCAGCTATGCTTGCCCTTATCTACAGCTCACTTCGAGCACGGGATGCTCATACGTTTTTCAGCGGTCGGTGAGGCTCGAAAATGATTCGCTCAGTTTGTTGTTTTGAAGGGTGGACAGTTAGCGCTTGATAGCGAGGCGATTAAAGCAAATTGCTCACAACAACCGGACGTACATTCCGATGCAATCGCACCACGGCCAAAAACATTCATTCGAACCGGTGTAGGTAACCGCCCGGCGGTTGATGTGGGTTCTGATTTCGTTCGGCGGATGATGGGCGGCTGTAACCGAGCTATAATCCCGCCGATCCGCGCATCGCCTTCTCTGCTGGTCCCGAAGACAAAGGCAGCTGGAAGGACACTCCGCCGCTGTTACCGAAAATGTTTGGGACATGTTCCATCGCTCAGGGCTTTATACGTTACGAAATTGACATCATCTTTGTCTCACAAAATAGGCCAATTAAAAAGCAGTACCTAATTGTAGCTGAAGCTGTTGTAAATATCTAATAGTTTCTCTCCATGCATCACAAACTATTCATTTCAAAACATATCATTTTTGTTTCATTTATCTGTTGTGGTGAATATCGTATTTAACATGACATTCGGTGTACTCAATTCACTGTCCCTAAACCGCCGACCCTGGCGCTGCGTCTGAAGCAATCGGCAGCTGTGCGGCGTGTTAGACGGCGCCGACACCCATTTGTCGTTCGGCGGTCATTTGCGGCCGGCTGTCGTGACGACTGTGATTTGCCAGATCGGCTGTGATTTGCCAGATCGGGTCCGGCCGGGCGGGAATGACTGTCCAGACGTGTGATGTCGTTATCACTGCAGGGGACAAAGAGGGTGAGGGAAGGGAAAGAGAGGGAGAGAGAGAAAGAGAGAGAGAGGGGGGACGAGGGGAGGGAGAGATAGAGGAAGGAGAGAGAGGAAGAGAGGCATGTAAACGTAGACAGACATAGCCGTAGAAAAATACCAACTTACAGCTGTTACTCCATTCGGGTTTGCATTTGCGCCTGTGCCCTGTAGTACCTACACCTGTCTATATTTTCAGATGTTATCAGCAGCATGATACGATTAGATACGGCTAAAAGTATGAAATAATGCAAAGATTTCATATGACCTTTTCAGTCTGAGACATAGATGTGTTAATTCATTATTTCATGTGGGCAGATTTGTGGGCTGCACATCGCGGCACGCCTATTTGCGCTGAATCTCTTTCTGCACGTAATTTCACATGTTGTCTTCGTCGACTATACATTTGAGCTTTCCTTTCACCAAAACCACCTTGACACGGAAAGCTACGTATCCAGTAACCATTACGAGCTTTGAATAATTATTCATGGCAGGTGGGTATGTATGTGCATAAGCCAATGCAGCGCGCTCGGTGCATTTTTCTGCGTTGCTCCACCTGTCCCAGACGTCAGAGCGATTCCACATGGTCCGTTGAACACCACACGCCGTAACACATGGCAGTGACGTGCTGGGGAAGTAAGACAGGCCTGAGAGTGACCGATCCACACAGGGACAAGCTGCACCTGTCATGTGGCACATGTCCACGCGTCAGCACGTCAAGAGGAACTATATTAGTGTGATGACGAGCAAACTGCAAGCATATCTTGCAAAGCAGGGTCACCAGATTATGTTTGATACCAGGTTAAATACAAGCTGGTATGTGCCAGGTGATCACGACCCAAGTGGAGGGTATATGTGTTCGGAATTATTGTTGCATGTGTAAGTTTACATGTAGTTGTATCGATGTTCGAAAAGCTACTCAGTTAATTGCCTATGCACTTATTCGCCCCCAAGATTCATTTATGAGCTATGACTGACCGTTTTTAGACAAAAAAGGATGGGTAGTTATCTATTCCACGATCGGTAGTTAGAAGGGCACTACCGATTGTATAAGATTCCACCAAGCAGGTCTCCCCGCTCCATCTCCGAACACCTGAGGACGCCCTCTCGCCCCCTGACAACTACCGGCGAGCAGTGACAAAATATCGTCCGACCATCCTCCCCGCCAGTCGCCGCTACGGCATTGTCCTTACACGGGTAGCCGCGGCAGCGGCGGTCCCTCTGATCCACATTCGCTCTGATGAGAGGTGCTCTGTGGCTTCCAGCAGCGGCCTGCCGGCCCGCCGCCGTACCAGCGGCGCGGGCACGAGCCGCTCAGAGCCTCCACCAATCAGCGGGCCGCTCGGCGCTCCGTCGCGGACGGCGGCGGCGGCGGCGGCGGCGGCGGCGGCAGTCAGTGTTGTTCGACAATCGACGGTGGCGGCACGAGCCGAGGGCGTCCGACTGAGGGCAGGTGACGAGTGGCGAGTGTGGAGTGGCGGAGTGACAGAGGAGTGAGCCGAGAGGCGGAGTTGGTGTCGGAGGAGTGGACAGGGCGGCTGGTGAGGTCACTCGGGCAGTGCGCTGTCCGGAGGAGATGTAGGTGACCTGACCCGACCTGGTGTGATCGGACTCTGTCAGAGGAGCAGGGATGGAGGGGACGCGCCTGTTTGCGGCCTGCGTGGGCCTCATGCTCTCCTGCACCTACGCCAACTATGGATCGTGGATGTGAGTACCGTGCGCTGGCGAGGCGCTTCATCATCCCGTTCTATTCACTGCAGCAAACTAACCAGGCCTTGCAGCCTAGCATTCATTGACTACCAGCAGTGCTCAGCTGTCCATAGCAGTCATGCCGCGCACCATCCACCCCATCGCTCCCCGACTCCCTCACACGCACGCACGGGCCTCTGCCGCGCTCGGCATCCGTGGCCGGCGCGTCCCGACCTTCCGTCCGCCCTGGCCTTCTCACCATCCGGCGGGCGCCGCGCGGAATCCGGCCCGTCCGCGGCGGCACTCTCTCTCAATCAGGTCCGCTGACGGGCTCCCTGGCCCGTGGTGCGGAAAAACAGCCCGCCGATGACAAATGACAAATGATTGTGGGCGTGCTCGACTGCCGTCCGCGCGCGGAGACACGGGGGAACGTCTGAGTGCCGTGGACACAGTAGCACGTCTGTGTGTCGCGTGCCGTCAAGTGCCGGACGCGTGAGACACAAAACCACGTCTATGCGTCTCGTGCCGTTTGCTCGGCCATGCGTCGGACGTGGCTTGGGTAGCGCGGTGTGCCTACCGGCGGCAGAGACGGACGAGATGGGCGATTTGGTAAGAATAGATCAAAGCGCAACGCTACCGGGCTGCTGAGGCTTGTCGTTGTATGTTACAGACCGCGAGCTAAGCGTTGGTAGAACGGCCGCAGCTCCCGACATTAACAGAGACTTGAAGTCGATTTGGAACGACAGCCTGCGGCTGACTGGTACGAATGTCTTCACACATCGACAACTCAGCTGTTTCGTTCGACTAAGTGCATCATCTGAAATTTGCACGGCTCTAATCATTTTTAACATTGATATTCGTTTTGCATTCTGTCTGATAAAGCCATGATCTTCATTCTCGGTGGGCGCAGGCTAACATCTCAATCTTGATTACCGCCATTACTCAAATATGTCATATGAAACTTATGACCAGCTATTAAACTGCAATATTTGTCATGTATACAACTGCAATAACATGTTTCTTGTAAGCCATACATTTGGCTTGCATTGTCATTTCGCAACCAATTTACTTTGACAATTCAAGTCATTTGTAAGACGATGTGCAAACAGGTCAAGGCTCGGCCGGTCAAAGGATCAATTCATTTATTAACGCAATGCGCTTATGCCGAGTGTATGTGACTGGTGAGGAGGATGATAAATTGTTGCCGCTCGGCCGGCATTGAGACAAATGGGCCCTTTGGCGTCGGACGCAGACGGACTGTGGAGATGGAGGGAGCCGCGGGGCGGGCCGCGGCGCCGAGTCGCGGGCCCACTGCGGAGAACCCGGCAGGCGCTGTGGGCAGACTGGTAGAAAATAGTCCGTGTTAGCCTTTGAACACCTTGCTGGGCTATTGTGATACATTTGTATGCATAGTCGACTTGGGAAGATGCGTTAGCACTTTTAAGTCATTGTTTTATTCTAAAAGATTTAGTGAGACACTCGGTACCAAATCCATAACAGGATGTAGTGCTCAAACTTGCTGGCGCTTTATAGTTTGCTGGAATTAATCCAAAATGCATGAAGCACATACCGGAAGGACTATAACGTCTTGTTTCCGCACATCTGTAGTTTCCGCCTCGTCGGTTCCTACAGGCCGGCTGAGTCGGCGCCCCACACCCGTCCGCCGGCGGTATCCCGAACGTTCAGCGGGGGCTGTTCAGCGGGCGGCCCGGCGCCCCACACCCGTCCGCCGGCGGTACCCCGAGCGTTCAGCGGGGGCCGTTCAGCGGGCGGCCCGGCGCCCCACACCCGTCCGCCGGCGGTACCCCGAACGTTCAGCGGGGGCTGTTCAGCGGGCGGCCCGGCGGCTGATGGTCGCGGCTGACGGCGCCGCTAACTGTCGGTGCCAGCGGGGGTGTGACGACCGACAGCTCCACGGAGCGCAAACTGCCGACGGGGCGCGCCCGCGGCAATCAGAGTGGGGAGTCGAGCGACGCGGCGAATGACCGACCCCGCCGGGCGCGCGGTGAGGGAGCCCGGCGTAGGAACCCGCTCCCAGCAGAGCAGTCGGTAATCTCCGACCGGCAAGGCCGACCGAGCCAGGGAAACGCTCCCGATCCGGGCCTGTTAACAAGTTGTCCGTCCGGGGCCGGCGCGGATCATCTGCCCGGTGCACAGTTCGTCGGGAGGCGTGCACCGGTTCCCTGTACGAGGATAATCTGCGGTGATTGATGGCCGGGTGAGATGTCCTGACGTCACCGATCGTCAGCGGCCGTGGCAGCCAGCTCTGCGGTTGAACTGGTGACGCACCGAGGGTCAGTGATCAATGGGCTGCGGCCGTGATACTCAGTATTTCTGACTGCATAATGCAGAAGGAGCCGGGCCCAGCTCTAATCTGACCCCCGAACCCTCGCAGGCAGGGAATTTACGGCACAAACATCCGTGATGGTAACATATTGACGCGAGCAATCTCGATATCGGCTGCCGGTCTCTACGTCTAACTCCACAGGGTCCGGATGCTTCGAGATGAGAAATGTTTGCTCAGTTTGCACCCTGCCGTGAATTGGACAAGGTAACATTCAATTGCGTCTCTCGTGTGCGTTGCAGTCTTCACCTCCGCCGAGCTCTTGCACATCCACTAGTTGCGTGTGCCTGCACGCCCTCCTTTGGTGTAACAGATGTTCAGTAAAACTGCCCCCGCTACTTATGGAGATGACCTGGCTCGTGTTCTCTGAGGTCGCCCAGCTGGACCCCCGGACCTCCGATAGGCCGGTGGTCGCGGCCCGGAGAACCACCCTATCCCGACAGCAGCCTGTCAGCGCCGACATGTATCACGGGCGACCCAGGAGCGATCGACGGAGTTACCGGCTGTCGTCACGGCCGACAATGTGGTCACGGCGATCATCAGCGGCGCAGCGTGCGTGAAACCCTGCGGACAGCCGACCGCCGCGACTGCAGGCGGCGTCTGTCACTGTCACATCCGTGCGGGCACGCTGTTAACCAGACTCGGATGTCCATGGACTGACACCATTATCATAGCGAGGGTGACAGTGAAGGTAGAGAGATGTGACCGCCGTAAAAACTCGCACAGCTGCGTGTCGCCACGGGTAAGGCCTTGTTCACATGTGTTATCGGACGTGTTCTGGCCGCTGTCACGTCACCTTTCTCCAGCGCTGGCGTCTGCCGTCGTCTGGTATCGTCTGGGGTTGTCTGAAATCGGCTAGGACCTCTATTGCGGGTTTCTAAGACTTTCGCAGCCGTCTAAGACAGTTTGTGACGGTCTGGGACAATGTGGGCCTGCACCTGGGACAGTCTGAGACCATTTGGGGTAGTTGTTCGATGTCCCCAGGGACTGTCTGATGCCTCTAGGACCGTCTGTTGTCCTCTGGGACCGTCTGGTGTCCTACAGTTCCGTCTGTCACTGCTCCTCCCGTCCCTGCCGCCGCCGCACGGTGTCGGCGTGTCGGAGCTGCTGTGTGTGACGCGGCCGGCGCCGGGCCTGTAATTAGCCGGCCTGCCGTGTCGAGCGGCCGCGCCGCTCTCTATTGGTCCCCTTCACCGGCAGCCGCTGGTCGATAGGCATTGCACTGAAAAAAATTTTTACTCACTTTTCTGAGTAATGACTGAGTTGCCATTTTGTCCAATGGTAAAACTCACTCTAAATCCGCGTACTCAGGTAAAACTCAGGGCGGAACGCAGGTAAAACTCGGGCAAAACTCATTGCAAGTGAGTAGCATGTGAGTAACAAAGTGAGTTGCCATTTTGTCCGATGGTAAAACTCAGATAAAACTCAGTAAGTACTCATGCGTAACTCATGTCCTACTCAGACAACTCAGGCCAAACTCAGGTATTAGTAAGTCATTACTCATGAAAAACTAGGAAGTAACTCACATGTAACTCAGCTGGTACTAATGTATAACTCAGGTGGTAGTACGGCCATAACTCAGTTGGAACTCATCGGTTATTCAGTGAAAACTAGGGCTGTACTCAGGACGTACTCACGTCGATAACTCATACGATACTCGGGTGTTACTCAGGCGCCGCCTGAAACGGCTGATCTGATTCGTTTTATATTGGCTCAAGCCAATGTATAGGCTCGCCGCCCATGATAACAGCTGCCGCATCAGCATTATGCAATATGCATGCGTGATGCTGATACAACAGCCACTACCAGGCAGCTAGTCTATATATTGGGATTGGCCAATATATAACGAATCATTGCCCAAAACCAGCATACATATCTGTATTATACCATGCCCGACCAACGTCTAGTCTTGCACTATTCGCCCCAGCCCTTACAAGAAATACATGTTTGTAGAAACGGTCGCATTGCGCTGTATTACAATTCTGACACACGCCAAACTGCGTCGGGGGGGGGGGGGGATCGACTCCACGTCAGCTCAGCTTCACTCTTTTGCCAGCTTCTCGACCTCAGTCTTCGCGGCTACAGGTGGCTGGCGCTCAGCATTGAATGGTGTGTGGAGCACATGGATACACACAAACCACAGCGTGTTTCGCACTTTGTGCGCCGTTTGTTGACTGAGCACAAAGTGCGCCGTCGCCCACAGCAAAAGACTCCCTTCCAAACCATGGATCCCCACAAGACTTCCGTTCGCTCCACGATGAGGCGGCACCGTTCGTTTTCTTCGGACTTGTTATGATAGGGGTGATCCAAATTTTCGTCACCCGTGTACGCCACCACTGACGCCTTCTCCGCCAAGATGCAGAGGAGGCTCAATGGGCCGTTCCCTGAAAACACAATAAAAAAGTCAGATTTTCTTTTGCCAGTAAGAGAAACGGAAGTTATAGGGCATGCAAGGTGATTGAAATATCAAAAGTTATCAAGTTACTTCAGCTCAAAATTAATGTTAAACCGCGCCGTGCTGGTGCTCTGAGTTTACCGTGATGTACTGGGGGGAGGGGGTCGTCTTCACGTCCCCTCTTCTAACTCGGCTGTTGGGGTTGGGCCACGTAGCGACACGCCGTAAGCGGCTTTCGAAAAAGCATTTAAGATATTTAAGGAAATACTTGGGTAATTT